CCCCAAGACCCAGCCTGACAAGCACATACAGACACAATCACACATTCCCACCATCACACACACGCCCACTCATTCAATGTAAACACACAAAATGGACACCACACTCCACTCTGACTCCCCATACATCCTCTACACCGCCAGGTCCAGGATACGCACTCACCCCTAGCAGGATGTTGCCCGTATCCGGATCCAGGAGGTAATCCCCTTCATTCCGGGGTGGATGGGAACAGACAGCCAAACCTCCGCAGCAGCAGAGCTGCTCATCAGTCTGGACGAGGGCCAGGCATCACACAAATGACCCCGGCCCAGACACCAGAGACCAGCCCCAACCCCATCCAAAGATGCAGCCAGAGCCTTCATGATCCAAACAAGCCAGCCAGTCCGAGCAGCCCCAAGACCAAACAGTTCCAGCCCCCCAGCAAGCACCAATATTTACACCATGTACCCTCCACCCCTCGTAGGACCCCACATGAATTCCCCCACAGGGCCAACCTCCAATCAGCAGATCAACATCAAGTGCATGCCCCAAACAGACAAATCCCCTCTCTACAAGGGGGCAGCCCCGCAGGGGAACTCCCCCTCAACAGAGTAGATGAGAATGCCCCAGCCCGCCGATCCACAAGACAGCCCACGCAGCCACACCTGCCAGGCACCCACACACAAGTCAACTCACCCCCCCAGGCCAAGCACTGCCCGTCAACAACCCAGGGTGCATCCTGTCGCTCCACCCACCCAGCCTCAACTGCAGGCCGGCCCCAGGACAGAAGTCAGTGCAGATGAGAGAAGCAGCAGAAGGAATGGCCCAGCGCACGCAAGAACGCAAGACCAGGCACTCCACCAAATCCATACCACAGACCCGGAGGTGCGCAGATGTGCTGCCCCCCCCCCCCCCCCCCATAGAGTACTCCCATTGCAAACGCTGCACTAGGCCAGCAAGTCAGCACCCCAGCTGAAGGGAAGCCACACCATCGCACACCCCCTACCAACCCCTTGCTGGACTCTGGCAGGCACTCCAGCTAGAGGGCCAACTATGGCAACCTGGAGCCATAATTCAGAAATCCGAACGACCCCAGGGGAACCGGAACTCCAGCCCCACCCCCAGCACCCTCCCAAGGTCCAGAGCCCACCCATAACCCAGGCCCAGACCCGACATTCTACACCTCCTTCTGATCCCAACCCCAAATGGTAAATGGGGAATGGGGGAGTGAAAAGACCCCCCGTCCCCCAATGTGCTGTTGATGCATGTTGTTTTATAGTGCAATTAAAATGGTGGCTGACACATACTTCCTCTCACTTCAGAGTAGGCAGTGCCAGTTCATCCCCCACCCCAACTCATGCCCAAGAACACTAAATGTCTACATGCAATATTTGGGAGTGGCATTAGTGGTGAGACTGACTGCCCAGCTCACCCACTGTGTGCCACTGAGAGTGCTCTGTGTCACTGTGTAAGTGCCATGACAATGTTATGAGTTTCTAGGGTGGTCCAGGCAGCCACGGGCAAATGGAGATGTAATATCCTTGCTTCTAAGTGATGTACCTACACCCCAAAGCCCGACACGAGCGGAGTTGTGATGAAGTGGGTGGAGGGATTAATGAAGGATGGGGAGAAAAAGACTGGAGGCACAAAATGCCCTCTCAGGAAGCCAGCTCCCCTGCCGACCCCAGTAGGCACCCCCGTTCCCCGAGGACCACCGAGGGAGGGAGGCTCCAATACCTCTGCCCCAGGAGAGATGGCAGGAGCACCACCAGGCCCCAAGGAACCCAAGGTCATGGATGGGCAGAGCCCAGAACACCGACAGGGACCGAGACCAACAACCCATCTGCCCTGGAGCCATCCAGACCCCCAGTTCCACAGCCAGTCCACAGCCTAGAGAAGCCACCGAATCCAAACAAGGAAAATCTAGCCGAGTGCCCACATATCATCAACAGTGCAACGAGACCACCGAGTATGCAAGCCCACACTAACAGAGGAGCCAACCAGCCTACCCAACACAACCTCCGCCACAGTTGCACACCACATAAAGGAGGACTCACTAACATGTCCAACACCCCCAAATCTCCAACATGGAGTCACCAGAGCGAAAGTCCCTGATGCATCCCCCACCCTCCATTCCACAAACTTGACCACCAGCCCAACACCACAGGACACAATGCAGCACGACGGCTCAGAAGTTAGCACAGACGCCCCACAGCAAGAAGGTCCTGGGTTTGATTCCCGGTTCGGACCTGGGGTCTTTCTGTGCAGAGTTTGCATGTTCTCATGGTGCTTGCTTGGGTTTTCTCTGGGTACTCCGGTTTCCCCCACCCCACAAAAACATGTACAATAGGTTGCCTTCAGGCCCAGGCCTCCCTTGAAAAAGAGATCCGAGATCTCAACGGGACTTGCCTGGTTAAAGAACGGTAAATAAATAATAAAAATAAATACATAAATAACACCCGACCACAGCCACAGTCAGGTAAGTACAACCAAGGAATACACCCCATACCAACACCGAGCCAGCCAGCAAGCCATTCCAGACCCCAGCAGCAGGCCAACCCACATGCAAAATATCCCAGTCAACACAAACGCATGAACCACCCCATAGAAAGACAAACGAAAACCACCGGCACCACCGCGGTAGCCAATGCAGCCATGCTGTGCCACTCTGCTCACCACATCGCCAAATGAAAGTTGATGACACAGCCAACTGACGATGATGACGTAGCCAACCGTGGAGTGCCATGGAGAGGCCACAGCACCCACCGCAGAGGAGGCAGTACCCTCCCTCTAGACTCGGAACCACCGATATCCAGGCCAGGTAAGTAGCAACTACTAAGCCAAGCCAACTGCCCACCCTGGGCCAATGCCACGGAGACAGCAACACCATCATTCCTCCATAATTCCACAGGAACACAGCGAGAGCCATCATCCCCAGACCCACACCACCCAACAGGGCCCAACCAGAAAAGAAGTCATCACATCCCGGCACCAGACCCAGAGGAGCAATGCAATCAGGACCCACCCAGCACCCCTTAGCGCCTCCGCATGCCCCCAAACTCTGATACCCCCCACGTCAGCAACAATGCCCCACAGAATGAGATCAAAGGCTCCCCAACTCCACTATGCCATTAGGCTGATCACAGGAGCCCAAAGAGATTGATCTGATGTGGCAGCAAAAGCTGTCTCAAGACTGATATGATCCAACAAAAGATTTCTATATTGTGTAATATTAAGAGGCACTTTGACACTTATGTCAACCCTGAGAAAATTAGCTTGTTCTTTGTGAGTTTGAGGGAAAATGAAAAAGACAAAATTCTTTGCTGTAATCTAGGGTCTACAAATATTCTTTTAATGTTAATATTGTTTAATAAGAAGTAAAGCAACAGATGCAGACTCCTCTCTCATGGTGAGAGAAACAGGCTGAGCGTGAGTATGGTCAAACACAAAAGTTGCACGTCTGTATGGTAACGACGACGCTTCGAATATATTAACATTTGATAAAAAGTTAGCTTTTAGATGCAGAAGTCCCAGGCAGGTCATGGTTTGTTTGGGAAGAGTGGTGGAGGTAACATTGCTTAGGTGTGAACACATACGTTTAATACTTAGAAGTTTAAGAATTTATCATGACTTCACCTTCATGTGGGACAGGCGGTTCTGGTAGCGGGTCGAGGTGTACTCCTTGGAAAAAAGTCAGAGCAATGCTGATTACTTTCACCTGCGGTCTAATTCTGCTCACAGACAGCATGACCCGCCCTGCTCTAATTTGTTAAAATTTTCACTCTGGTTCTCTTTATTGGTTGAAATTGGCACCAGTTAGTCCATCCAAACTGGACTGAAGACCACAATGTTTTTTTTGTCCTCCCCATTTACAGGAAATGCATTGTGGAGAACTTTGAATAATGTATTTAATAGGGGTGTCCCGATCCGATATCAATATCGGATATCGGTCCGATATCAGCCAAAAAACGAGTATCGGATTTTATCGGACTGCATAAAAAATGTCCGATAAAAGCGCTCCGATATTAGCAGTCCGTTCCAGCATTTCACTGACTCCGCTCCAGTGTTTCTATCCAGCAGMGCTTGGATCCAGCTTGTAGCRCTCACGTGATCACAACAGCAGCAGCGCTAACAAGTTAGCAAGAATGTCGGCAGCAGAACTTTTTATTTTCATCAGAAACAGAGTTGCAGCTAAGTGTAAAGTTGTCATGCACAAGTTTTCCGAGGGGAAACACAGAACCGTGAACGTTTTAAACCGGAGCGACAACTACTCTCCACCCTGGCAGCAGCTTTGCGGTTCGGCTCGGTTCAGCCTCGGTCCAGTGACCGCACACAGCCGCGCTGTTTCGGAACCTCCTCTCTGGTCGGGTCGGTGATTCTAAGCGGGCAGAAGCGAGGACAGCACGCTTGTTTTGACATCCGTGGATTAGCTCTGTGTTGATGGACAGAAGAAAGGAGAGCGCAGCTTTTGTTTTGGAATATGAGCGACATGACGAGAGCAGTGATAAAAACTGCTCCCTGCAGGAGAGAGAGGCTGATCTCCACATGATGCTCAGACTATAGAAAGTGGAAATTTAGCACTAAGAAAGGTAGCTATCAATTTAAATAACTAATTCTTACTATTTATTTTTTGCTCTTGTTATTAGAGTGATGTTTAATCTGTTTACACACTTGTTTGAGTGAAGATTAAGTGCAATGATCACGTTGTTTTAGTTACAATCAGTAAAACTGGAGCTGTGGACTCTTAACTTTGAACAGACAATAATGTGGGGTTTTGTTTTGTCCCCACCTTCAGTTTTTTCCACCATAAAGCAGCACAAGGCTGACAGATGGTAAAAAAAATAACTGGAGTGATTTTGAATTATTTTACACTGTAAAAGTACATTTTGTTTTTATTATGTTATTTTTTCAGGGTATTGTAATTTATTTTATTTATTAAATTGTATAATGTTCTTCAGTGTAAAATGTATGTGATCCATTGGTTTAAAATAAATGGGTCAGTTTTTCTCATACCTACTCTTTTTCACTGTTTGATCTGATCAAGATTTTTCTAAGATTTTACACTACAAAATAGGTAAAAGTGTGTGACTTGYACTGTTAYAGTAACGRGTCAATATCGGTATCGGTCAATATCGGTATCGGACATTTCTCAAAGTTGTAATATCGGTATCGTATCGGAAGTGAAAAAGTGGTATCGGGACATCCCTAGTATTTAACTTATTATTATTTAACATATTAAACTTGCACATTTTTAAACAAATTTACAACTTTTTAAGGTCTTAATTTTAGATAAATGAATTTAGGACCAAGACTTTTTAAAGATCTGTGGACATCCTGTCCTGTAGCAGCATTTTGGTAAGTTTAAAAACATTTATCTAAATTAATTGCAACAAGATTATTTTTCAAGAATTTGCACACATCCTTCAGAGGTTAGTTGTGAAAATTTTGTTTTTTCTGACTTTTAACCTGATCAGCTGTAATCAAATGTTGATTGGCCACCAGATTTATCTAACAAGCTGAAGGACAGACAGGGGGTATTTCCATGTTCCCTCTTTGCTCGACGAAATACAATAAAAAAGGAAGGGGCAGCAAAGAAAACATTTCTCTCCAAGAAAACAACAAGAAAAGCTTGAAATTCTACAAAAAGGTCAAGGGAATGGACTTGGTGGTAAAGATAGACATTATGTAAAAGGCATTTTGAATTTTGCTCCAATCTCAAAAACAACAAAAAACACTTATTAAAAATGTTCTGCTTTAAGAGAATGCAACCTTCTTGCCTTGCACCATGAATGAGCTGCAACTTTGTATTTGAAACAAGCAGGGAGAGAGATATAGACAGTGAGCTCTGCTGTAAAAAAGCAAAAAAACAAAAACCTAAAACAAAGCTTAGATTAGAGAAAGCAATGTCTAAATGAACGGAGTGGGAGGAAGACACTGTTAAAGGTCCAAAGATTGGGTTGTTGAGGACTGGGGTAAAGACATTTTGTGTGATTTAATCTTTTCATAAATAAATTTATTTCATCAAATGTACATGTCTGCCCATTTCAGGTCCTTGGGATGGAGATGCTCAAGAACACAGCAGAGTTTACCTCCATTACAGCAGTGCTATTCATGTATAAGGTCTTTAACTACAAATAAAGATAAAAAACTTAAATTTCCCCCCTCTTTCCCATTGGAACTACTCACTCTCAGGAAAAAAGCTATCAAAATGAATCATGTGAAAGTGTTCAACAACATATAAGAAAAAAGCAGAACATATAGAAACATATAGAAAAAGCAGAAACAAACAGCTGATGTGCGACTCTGACCCACCCAAATTTAAAATGAGATTGTTTTTTGTTGCAGAAGCAACAACCTCTGGTCCCTGAAGGTAGTGAAGTAGCATCTCCAGACCCAGCAGCTGGATGGAAGGGAAGCTGGTAGTAACATGCATACTGGAATTCAAGCTCATTCGAGGGGAGATGGCCGAGCTGTTGATGCTCGAGTTGCCTGTTTAAGACAAAAAACAGAGAGAGAGAGAGAGAGAGAGAGAGAGAGAGAGAGAGAGAGAGAGAGAGAGAGAGAGAGAGAGAGAGAATCTTTCCAGAGTGCTGTGTAGGTAGGGGTTTGTGTTCAGGAAAAGAGGGACCCTACCAGATTTCGGTGTGCTGGGTGTGACGGCTCCATTTTGACTGATGCTTCGAGGAGCAGCAGTTTGGACAGAGAAGTCAGATCCAATTGAAGACTGGAGCAGAGGCACAGAAACCTGCAGAGGGACAGACATGCATCAATCACAAAACAATCTTATTTATCCCACTTATGCAGATTTGTTGACACAGGCCTGACCTGATCAAAGTTGGAGAACAGGTTGGATCCTAGCTGCACCACCAGGTACCACCACACCTCCACCTTGGTTAGCAGCAGGGCTTCTGCCCTGACGTGGATTGATATGAGCGGCTGCATAAGGAGCTTTATACGCTTGGCGCTGCTCAGGATATCTGAAAGAATTTTAAACTTGGCTCTCATGTCTGAACAACTACACAGAAAGAGTTCAAGAATTGGGATGGGGATTAGCAGGGTTTGACAAGTTGTTGTTTTTTTTTTCCCCTTCCCTGTCGGGCAAGTGACCACAAATGTTTCCTGCCTGACATGATAGGTTGCCTGCATGAAACAAAAATGTTAAAACTTTGATGAAATATAAGAAAAACATGTGCTGGATAAACTATATTTTATTTATACAAAAATATTAACATAGTTACACACAGAAGTACTATATAACATATGCCATCTAATAAAGCAGTTGCAAACATTACAGACTGTAAAGAAAAACAAAAGATTTTTCTCCTATGACTCTGGTGAGTAAACAACTAGCCCACATGGGCAAGGGTGGCTCACCCACCTCCCTACTGAACTTCTCTGGTATGTCTATGTACCCTAGGGTCCAGTCTTTCAGAAAATGCATGTTAACAGAAAAAAAGTTGGGTCTCACTGCCCCCCAGGGGCCCCTTTTTGGCCACACCCCTTTTCTATTGTGACCATTAGGGGTACAGAAAACTTAAATGCCAAAAACTTCGCTATAAACCAACTGAAGTTTAAAAACAAGGTATAATCAGATTTGCATTGATTAGCTCTTCGATGTACATGACATTTCATTAAGCAAATATCTGCTTGATGATGTCATCGGGGAGGTGGGGGGGTCAAAAGATCACAACCCCAACAGAAGATGAAAATTTTCATCTTTTTATTCTGTAGATTAGGGTGGGTCACCATGCACACCCCACTACTGAACTTGGGCGTTTTCATGTACGCTAGGATCCACTCTTTCAAAAAATGCATGTTAACAGAAAAAAAAGTTGGGTCTCACTGCCCCTCAGGGACCACTTTGTGACCACACCCCTTTTCTATTGTGACCATCAAAACTAGGGGTACAGAAAACTTAAATGCCAATAACTTTGCTATAAACCAACTGAAGTTTAAAAACAAGGTATCAGCAGATTCGTATTGATTAGCTCTTCGATGTACATGACATTTCATTAAGCAAATATCTGCTTGATGATGTCATTGGGGTGGTCAAAAGGTCAAAACCCCAACAGAAGATGAAAATTTTCATCTTTTTATTCTGTACATTAGGGGGGGTCACCATGCACACCCCACTACTGAATTTCTCTGGTATTTTCATGTACCCTAGGACCACTCTTTCAAAAAAATGCATGTTAACAAAAAAACGTTGGGTCTCACTGCCCCCAGGGACTGCTTTTTGGCCACAACCCTTTTTCATTGTGACCATCAAAGTTAGGTATATACAGGAAACTTAACAGCCAATAACTTTGCTATAAACCAACCAAATTTTAAAAGCAAGTTATCAGCAGATCCATATTGATTAGCTCTTTGAATTAAATGACATTTCATTAAACAAATATGCGCTCGATGATGTCATCAGGGGTTAAAATATCAGTAACCCAACAAAATTAGACAATTTTCATCTATTTAGACTGTGGGTTAGGGTGGGTCACCATGCACACCCCATGACTGAACGTCTCTGGTGTTTTCATGTACCCTAGGGTCCACTCTTTCAAAAAATGCATGTTAACAGAAAAAAAGTTGTGTCTCACTGCCCCCCCAGGGACAGCTTTGTCCACACACCTTTTCCATTGTGACCATCAAAGTTAGGGGTACATGGAGCTTAACTGCCAATAACTTTGCTATTAACCAATCAAATTTTACAAACAAGTTATCAACAGACTCATATTGATTAGCTCTTTGATTTAAATTACATTTTATTAAACAAATATGTAAATATGTCAGAGGGTCAAAATGTCACAACCCCAACAGAAGATGAAAATTTTTATCTTTTATCTGAGTTTACCACACAGATCCTAAACATTCAACTTTCTTATCCTTTTCATGCACCATTGGATCCACTTATTCAGAAAAGTCTGTTAAAATTAAAGTTGTAGGTACTACTCCACAGGGACCAATTTTTGACCACACCCTTACTCACTGTGTTCAGAATTTTCAGGATGTCAAACTTACATGTAGATTCACTATGTCAGAATAAAATGTCATAAATCTCATGTTAAATGATTAGATATTGATGTGGTCTCCCACTTAGATGTGCTTTTGTTGATTTATGCAACAGATCATGTTACCAGCCAGGCGTTAAAAGTAATACATAAGACTTGAACTTATCACTCACAGAAGAGTGAATCATCTCATTCCCATTTGTCTCCAAACTTACGAAATGCCTCTTAGTAGCCTCACTGTTTTTGAAAGATCTTCATGCTTTTATGCTTAAAGCGACCAAAAGACTGGAAATTTTTCCTATCAAATAAGGATAATAAAAAAAAATTTAATGGACCAAGGTGGTCAGAACAAGGGTCAGTAACGGTATGTGGCTACAACTAAGGAAGATTCAATTGCTGCATACATGTTACAAGGCTAAGTCAATCCTACTCACCAAAAAAGTGTTCTGCTCTGTTAGGTCTACATGCCTAGAATGTGACAGTACAAGTGTCTGTGAGGGAAAAGGTAAAGTGAAAGGCATGAAGCTCCTTCAGAACAATGAGACTTACCAAGAAGCATTTGGTAGGTTTGTAGACAAATGAGACATAGATGTTGCACTCTTCTGGGTGAGAAATTTACTTGTGATCTGTATGGTATACTATTGGACATAAAGCTGTATTAAATTAATACATTAATTTTTCCAATTTTATATTAATTCCTCTTTAGAGTTGGTTTAAGTTCAAGCTAATCAAAGAACAACTGTGAAAGCCTTTCAGTTTTAACAAACACTTGTTTCTGAATGTTCCCCATTGGTCTAATGTGTTTCTTTTAACTACTGGCTGGTAACATGATCTGTTGCATAAATAATCAACAAAGGCACATCTAAATGAAAATGAAATACCATGACAAAATCTATCATTTAACAGCAGATTTATGACATATTATTCTGACATGGTAAATCTACATGTAAGTTTGACATCCTGGAAATTCTGAACTGCGCATTAAAAGAGTAGGGGTGTGGTCAAAAACTGGTCCCTGTGGAGCAGTACCTACAACTTTTATTTTGTTAACAGACTTTTTCCTGAATATGTGGATCCTTAAGGTGCATGAGAAGGCTAAGTAAGTTGAACATTTAAGATCTGTGTGGTAAACACAAATAAAAGATGAAAATTTTCATCTTCTGTTCGGGTTGTGACATTTTGACCCTCTGACGACATCATCGCTTGCACATTTGTTGGATGAAAAGTCATTTAAATTGAAGAGCTAATCAATACAAATCTGCTGATATCCTGTTTTTAAAATTTTGTTGGTTTATAGCAAAGTTATTGGCAGTTAGGTTTCCTGTATATACCTAACTTTGATGGTCAAAAGGAAAAAGGGGCATGGCCAAAGCTGTCCATGTGGGGCAGTGAGACCCAACTTTTTTTCTGTTAACATGCATTTTCTGAAAGACTGGACCCTAGGGTACATGAAAATACCCATACTTTTTTTAGCTGATAAACTGTCTAGAATGTGTCTAAAATGATATATAATACTGTTTCTGTGCTAATTTTGATGTTTTTGTGCGTATTTGTTCAAATCTGTAATATTTGGTCTAAAAACCTCTTTTTGCTGGTCATATGGGTAAAGCAGTGGTACTGCAGGCTAATTTGCATATTGGTTAACGGCTCTCCACAGTGATGGTGTCTTTTCCACGGTTTCGTCACAGCGGCAGTGTTCTGGTATAAAAGCCTCTCTCTAAGACACGCCCCTGCATCAGTCAGAGGGTGGAACAGTTAGCAAGCTTAGCATGATCGTCTGTTGACGTTCAACCTCGGGTGGGGAGAGCTGACTGCTGCGTGCGTGCACCC